CCCCCCCCCCCGCAAAGAACATAAGTGGATTGGCGCTGTTGGCAAAGCGCTGTAAAACACGCCACCCCAAATATAGCCCCCATAGTATGCGCTGCCAAAGACGCCTGACGCATGGACGAGTGGAGTGAGGATAGCTGTTTACGTAAACCTCACAGGTTGAGTAATGTATGAGATTGCCGGACACATAGACGTGTTGAGTGATAATAGCTGTATACTGAAACCTCATGGGTTGAGTGAGGGTTGAGATTGCCAGACACATGGACGGGTTGAGTGGGGATAGCTGCATACTGAAACCCCACGGGTTGAGTGATGCTGGAGTGCCGGACACATAGACGCTTCGAGTGAGGATAGACACATACTGAACCTCACAGGTGATGTAAGATGTGGAGATTGCCGGACACATAGGCGTGTTGAGTGAGGATACCTGCATTCCAAAACCTCACAGATGCATTGGTTTTTTAGTTTGCCAGACACATAGAAGCGTTGAGTGGGGATAGCTGCATACTGAAACCCCACCGGTCGAGTGATGTTGGATAGTGTCGGACACATAGACGCTTTGAGTGAGGATCGACATAAACTGAGACCTTACAGGTGATTTGTATTGGAGATTGCCGGACACATAGACGTGTTGAGTGAGGATAGCTGCATACTGAAACCTCACAGGTTGATTTATATTGGAGATTGCCGGACACATAGACGCGTTGAGTGAGGATAGCTGTATACTGAAAATCCACAGTAGCTGAAGTGAGGGGACAATTCGGTATGCAGCAAGTACACACAGGCCCGACTCCCAACCCCTACCCGAACCACCCCTGAAAAAAAAGGCTATGCGCCCCCCCCTCCCNGTGCCAGACACATAGACGCTTTGAGTGAGGATAACTGCATATTGAGACCTCGCGGGTTGAGTGACGTTTGCGATTGCCGGGCACATAGACGCATTGAGTAAAGAAAGCTGCATACTGAAACCTCACAGGTTGATTTATATTGGAGATTGCCGGACACATAGACGCGTTGAGTGAGGATAGCTGTATACTGAAAATCCACAGTAGCTGAAGTGAGGGGACAATTCGGTATGCAGCAAGTACACACAGGCCCGACTCCCAACCCCTACCCGAACCACCCCTGAAAAAAAAGGCTATGCGCCCCCCCCTCCCCCCTACCTCCCCCAGAGGATGAGGAGGGTACAGTCCAAAGTAAGCACAAACTTACTTAAGGTTAATGCCTATTGGTACGGCATTAAAAAAAATACTATATTCCCACATTGGGCGGTGGAGGACTTAGAGCTAAGATACCCCAAAACTCTCCGGCGTGAGATCCAAAATGGATCGGACGGTGGAGGGGGGGGGGGGGGTTCGTTGCTTGAAG